TTTATGCGTTCTTATTTGACTATTTTTGCTTTTATTGCCTGTGATTTGGTAATCATATCCAAAAATTTGTTGCCCAGACCAATGTCATGGAGCTTTTCCCTGTGTTTTCTTCTAGTTGGTTTATAGTTTCAGGTTTATGTGTAAGTCTTTAATCTGTTTTGAGTTGATTTTTGTGTGAGGTAGAAGTCCAATTTCATTTTTCTGCTTGTGGATATCTAGTTTTCCCAACTATTTACTGAACAGGCTACCATTTCATCACTGTGTTTTCTTGGCTCCTTTATCAAAAATCAACTGATAAGTACTGTGTGGATTTATTTCTGAGCTTTTTATTCTGTTTCATTGGTTTGCATGTCTATTCTTGAGTTGTTTCATGTTGTTTTGATTTCTATAACTGTGTGATATATTTGACATCAGGTAGTATGATGTCTCCAACTTTGTTCCTTTTGCTTGAGATTCCTTTGGGTATTTGGGGTATTTTGTACTTACTCTATTAATTTTAGAATTTTTTTTCCTATTTCTGTGAAAAATATCATTGGGATATTGAAAAGTATTGCATTGAACTTGTAGATTTCTTTGGGTTGTGTGGACATTTCAATCATATTAATTCTTTCTTTTTATTAATTTTTTATTTTAAAGATGTAGAGTACAATAAAGAGTTAGGTACACAAATATTCATTATGCAGGCACCCTTGTTAATGATCTGTGTCCTTCCTTCCCCTAACAGTTTCCCTCAACTGCCAATCCCCCCCGCCCCCGCCCCGGGCAGTTTCCAACTACTGCCAATCCCTTTCTTATTGTATTATGATAATTGTTCAAAGTTCGCTTATGAGTGAGAACATATGGTACTCTGTTCTTTGTTTCTGTGATAGATCACTGAGTATGATAGACTCTAAATCCATCCAAGTTGCAGCAAAGTCCATATGTTTGTCCTTCTTTATGGCTGCATAATATTCCATTGTGAGCTGGCCTCGGTGGCTCAGCCTGTAATCCCACGCCTTGGGAGGCTGAGGTGAGTGGAATGCCTGAGCCCGCAGGTTCGATACCCGCCTGGGCAACTTGGCGAGACCTCATCTCTACAATAAATCAAAATTTAGCTGCGTGTGGTTCCGCGCCTGTAGTTCCGGCTAGTCGGAAGGCTGAGGCGGAAGGATCGCTGGAGCCCAGCAGGTCAAGGCTGTGGTGGCCAGGAGTGGCCACTGCACTCCACTCTGGGCGACAGTGTGAGACTCCAACTCAAAAAAAGAAATTCCATTGTGTATATGTACCACATTTTTAAAATCCAGTCCAGCTTCAATGGGCAGCATGGTTGGTTCCATGTTTTTGCTATTGTGACTAGAGCTGCAACAAACATGCGCGTGCAGGTGTCTTTTTTGTAGAATGATTTGAGTTCCTCTGGGTATATTCCCAATAGGGGGATTGCTGGGTCATATGGAAGGTCAATTTCTAGTTCTTTCAGAAATCGCCACACTGTCTTCCAAAGAGGTTGCACTAGTTTGCATCCCCACCAGCAGTGTAGAAGCATTCCTTTTTCTCTGCTTCCTCGCCAGCATCTGTTGTTGTTTGTTTTATTAATGATGGCCATTCTTACTGGGGTTAGGTGGTATCTCAAAGTGGTTTTGATTTTCATTTTTCTGATGATGAGTGAGGCTGAACACTTTTTCATGTGTCTGTTGGCTGCCCATATATCTTCTTTTGAGAAGTGTCTATTCATGTCTTTTGCCCACTTTTTAATGAGGCTGTTTAACTCTAAATCGATCAGAGACCTAAATGTAAAACCTCAAACTATAAGAATCTTAAAAAATGCAGGAGACACCCTTATGGAAATTCGAACTGGCAACCAATTCCTGATCAAAATGGTAAGTGCCTATATCCTAAGAAATAAGATAGACAAGTGGGACCTCATCAAACTGATGAACTTCTGCAAAGCAAAAGAAACCATCAAGAGAGCAGGGAGACAGCCCTCAGAATGGGAAAAAAATTATTTACCAACTGTATATCTGACAAAGGCCTGACATCTAGGATCTACAAGGAACTTAAACGTGCTGAAAGAAAAAAAAAAAAAAAAAACATTAATTCTTTCAATTTGTGAACAGGAGATTTTTCATTTGTTGAGTCTCTTTCAATTTATTTCACCAATGCCTTATAGTTTTCTTTTTTTTTTTTTTGTCAGTATAATTTTACTCAATTTATTTTCTATTGCTTGTTTAACATTTGAGTTATTTTATTTTAGAAATGTGGGATACAATTCAGGATTAGGTATACAAGTGGTCATTGTATAGGTAAAATTTGGGCCTCCCTTTGGTCCCCACTTTGCCTAGTTTGAGGTCAGGTACCCTTATTGATGTTGTGTTCCCTCCTCCCCCAACCTGGCAGTATCCCACTGCTGCCAATCCCTTTCTTATTGTATTATGATAAATTTTCAGGGTCTGCTTATGAGTGAGAACATGTAGTACTTTGTTCTTTGTTTTTGTGATAGATCACTGAGTATGATAGTCTCTAAATCCATCTAAGTTGCTGCAAAGTCCATATATTTGTCCTTCTTTATGGCTGCGTAATATTCTATTGTGTATATTTGCCACATTTTTTTAACCAGTCAAGTTTCAATGGGCTGCATGGTTGGTTCCATGTTTTTGCTGTTGTGAATAGTGCTGCAATAAACATGCATGTGCAGGTGTCTTTTTATAGTTTTCAGTGTACATATCTTTTACTTCCTTGATTAAATTTATTCCTGAGTATGTCTTATGCCATTGTAAATAGAATTGTATTGGTTTCTTATTCAGATGGCTCATTGTTGGTGTATAGGAATGCTACTAATTTTTGTATGTTGAGTTTGTATCCCTGCAAATTTATGGAATTTGTTTATAATTTTAATATTTGCTTATGTTTGGGGCCTTTCTACATATAAGATCATGTCATCTGTAAACAGAGACAGTTTTTATTCTTCCTTTCCAAATTGGATGCTTTATATTTCTTTTTCTTGTTTAGTTATTTTGGCTAGGATTTCCAGTACGATATTGGATAGAAGTGGCAGGAGTGGACATCTTTGTATTGTTCTGATCTTAGAAGAAAAGCTTTCAGCTTTTCACTGTTCAGTATAATATTAGCTGAGAGCTTGTTATATACAATCTTTATTATGTTGAAGTAATTTTTTCTATATCTAATTTACTGAGAGTTATTATAAAAGGATGTTGAATTTTGTGAAATGTCTTTTTCACATCTGTTGAGATGATGGTATGGTTTTTATCCTTCATTTTATTAATGTAGTGTATCACATTTATTGATTTGTTTATGGTAAATCATACCAGGGATAAAGCCCACTCAATCATGGTGAATGATCATTTTAGCTTGATGTTGAGTTCAATTTGCTAGTATTTTATTGAGGATTTTTGCACCTATGGCTCTCAGTGATATTGGCCTGTAATTTTCTTTTTTCTGGTAACTGTGTCTGACATTGCTATTAGGTCAATGCTGGCTTCATAAAACAAGTATGAAAGTATTCCCTGTTAATCAATTTTTGGAAGAATTTGAAAAGGATTGGCACTAATTCTTCCTTAAATGTTTGGAGGAATTCATCAATGAAGCCAGTGCTTCCTGACTTTCTACAAGATGCTATTCTAGAACATGCTCCAGGTCATCTTGTGGCCTCATCAGTGAGAAAAAGGAAAGTACAGTAAGTTCTCACATAAAGTCATGAATGGGTTCTTCAAAACTGTAACTTGAAGCAAAACAATGTATAATGAAACCAATTTTTTCCTCATCAAAGTTATAACAAAATGACATTATTTGAGGATGTGCTGCATGTCCTGTCTCTTAAAGTCACAGTTTTGAAAAACCTATTGATGACATTAAGTGAAGACTTACTGTAAACCAGTATAAAAATAAGCAAGTGTGGAACAAGTACTTCTCAAAACAGGAAATTCATTTGGCCAATGCTCACAAAATGGTGCTCAACTTAGTGATAATGGAAATAAAAATTAGCATCATGAAGATTGTAAGCATTTACCAGTTTGGCCCAATTTAAAAAAAACTCTGAGCTGGGCTCGGTGGCTCAGCCTGTAATCCCGCGCCTTTGGGAGGCTGAGGTGAGTGGATTGCCTGAGCCCGCGGGTTCGAGACCCGCCTGGCCACCTTGGCGAGAGCTCATCTCTACAGTAAGTAAAAATGAGCCGGGCGTGGTAGCGCGCGCCTATAGTTCCAGCTACTTGGAAGGCTGAGGCTGAGGGATCGCCGGAGCCCGGTGGCCGAGAGCGGCAACTGCACTCCTGTCTGGGCGACAGTGAGACTCCAACTCAAAAAAAA